GGTTGGAGTATTCTAAAACTGTTAGCGAGTATAATTTGTTTCTATTTACACTTCCTTCCAATCTACCGCAATAACATGAAATTTGTATGTTCTTATCAATAGATGCCGTCCTAGAACATAAACTTCAACATTTCCATTCCATTCCATCATCCAAGGATTATAAAGTTCCAGATTTTCTGCAGACACTTCATGGCCATCTGGACTGTTAAGGGTTTCGTCTCATTAATTGGTTGATACGTTTTTTTCTATTGTGTACAATTGGTGTTCCCTTCAAACGATATTTTCTTGTAGAATCATCTCCAAGTATCTCGCCATTCAAAGGTTTCGTTTTTACAGGTACCAGCTTGGTAGTGATTACCAAGAAATCCTTCCCAGAAGATGGTAGTCTCCCCTTCAAATGTCACTGTTTTAAACGTGGAGCACTGTTTATACAGATTTTTTCCCGAATTTTTTATTAGTCTCATTATCATGTATAAGCAATGGTCCAGAGAGTATGAAACATAAAAGACACTATATATACTTGTAGATTCATCTCTACGTACTTAAGGCGTCCATCGCACCCTCTCCTATAGATATGATAACTCTGTAAGTGCGTCTCAAAACAAATCCGCCATAAGCACTTGGCTCATACAAATGTCACAGTTTTCAATATCCGCTGGTTGTTCTCAAAGTTTTCTCTAGACTTTTTCACGGCCATTTGGACGGTTAAGGGTCGTCTCATTCATTGGGTGATAGATTTTGTTTCTATTGTCTACAGTTGGTGTTCCCTTGCAAATGTTAATCTCTTATCAAGCATAATGATTCAGATAGTAAAAAAGGCATAAAAGACCAAAAGTAGAATTATCTCCACGCATCTTGTCATTCAAAGGTTTCCTTTTTATAGTTATCAGCTTAGTAGTGCTTACCAAAAAATGCCTCCCTTTGAAACATCACTGTTTTAAACATGCAGCACTGTTTATACAGATCTTTTTCAAATTTTTCGCGTCATTTGTACTGCAAAGGATCTCGGCTTATTTTTCTATAGTTTACGATTGATGTACCATTTCAAATCTTACACTTACACTCATTATCATGTTTAAGCAATGGTCCAAAGAGTAAGGAACATAAAAGTACGTGTAGATTCATCATACGTGTAGGTTCATGGCATACTCTCCTCTAGGTATGGCACATAATTCGGTAACTGTGTCTCAAAAGAGTTCCGTCATATTACACGATAGAATCTCATACGAATGCCACAGTTTCCAAAGTCCAATGATTGTACAGTTCTCCAGGTTTTCTTTTCAGACTCTTTCACGGTCATCTGAACTGTTAAGGGTCTCTTCTCGTTGGTGTAAGGTTTTTTCATTTTTCTTTTGTGTACAATCGGTGTTTCCTTAGCAAATGTTAGTCCCAGTATCATGCGTAAGCAATGGCATAGGGGGTATAGAAAGCATACAAGCACTATATGATCTTGTAGATTGATGATCTCCACCTATTTTAAGGTAACAAACATTGGGTTGGTACCAATTTGGTACATGCCACCCTAGAAAATGATAAGTGCCTCATCTAAATGTTTCCAATGCCCTCAGACTGTACAGTTCTGTCTTTTCCGACTCTTTCTCGGTCATTTGGACTGTTATGGGTTCGTTGGTTGTTTTACATTTCTCTATAGTTTACCCTTTCTAATCTTAGTACCACATCATGCATAAGTTATGATTCAGAATTTATGGAATGCATAAAGGCGCGTATGATCTTGTAAGATCATATCCACGTATCTTAAGAGATCTTCGGATTGGTTGTTTTATGGAGTGAGAATTACTGCCTGTTTGAATTAAGGTTTGGCACTGTCTTATTCTTACTAGCTGACCATTAGATTGATATCTCCCTAATACCAGAGATCAACTTTTTAATTACTCTGAATTGAAGTCGTTGTGGGCGATCTGAAATTGGTCGCCTAGAGTACCTCCCAGTCTCCCTGTACCTTTAGACCCTGGGAGGCACCCTGAAACAATTAGCAATGATTAGTGTGTATCTGACAGATTCATCACTGTTTAAACGATTCACTATGGCACAAATAAAATAAAGAATAAAGAAAACATAGAGAAATATCTGACTGAAAAGAATATATAGTTTCAACTAGCAATAATCGCATTTCAGTAGAACTCCGATCACGATACCGCCACTGCCCAAGGTTGACTGGAAAGAATATGTATGCTTATATTTTTATTTTCAAGTATGTGTCTGTGAATCTTCTCATCATTTGTAATTTGTCACGTTATCAATTAAAGTTCGTTTTTACGAAAGGCTTGAACAAAAAGCAAACTTTGTGTTTGTTAGACACTATCCTCGTGATCTTACACTGTGCAAACTTCCAACTTGCTTGATTGTAGTTAAGTTTGTGTTTCGATGATACATGTTTTCCTAGTTAGGAATGATTGTGATCATGTGCTCGATTAAAATCATCACGGACGATAACAAACGTATCAACGATTATCGGGTCAATTTCACACTGCATAAATTTGATTAGTCATTTATAAATGTTGTTGATTTTTTTTCTTTGGTATTTTTGTAAATGACCGATATTCGGATTCGATAATGATCATTAATTTTTAAATAAAATGTCTAAACAAAAACTTAAAGAAAACACAGTTGGACCTAAATCACCCTCAAGTCAAGTTCTTGCCACTTGGGACTACCGACTCTTCTTTGGCAGTGTTCCATCGTGGAAAAACTTTCTAAACGTAGAAAAAACTTGTTCCGACCAAACCGGAAGAATGCCAGATTTATTATATGTATACCTAAACGTGCATTTTTAAAATTAATTATGAACGACTGTTAGTATAATCCTTTCAATAGGAAGAATATATAATGTACACTACCTGTCATAATGATCGCTACACTTTTAAATCGCCATATTTTTTTAGTTTGTGGTGTTAACTCATGTTTTTCTTATAATTATAGTAGTACAATATAATATGTTACATGAAAGACATTGTAGATTAATCTTATCATTATTAATCACTGCTTACCAACAAGCCAAGGAAAAATGTTTTCTGTTGTTCATTTAATATTCTCGTCAGTTATATATTTTATTTTATGATTTGGTAATTATGAAGACTGTGACTACTAGACAGTGTTGGGCAAAAATTAGTCATGTCTAATGATTAATGATTGATCACTCAGACCGTTAGTCATGGTTGGTAGTAAGTGACTAATTTAGTCGTTAGTCGCCATATGTGATTGATGGCTAAATTAGTCATGACTTGTAATTAAATACGAGACATGACTAATTTAGTCACAATATAGTTAGTCATGACTAAATTTCGATAAATCATGTTCAAATTGGTGCTCAAAAAATGAAAAATACACTTCATCATTTTTAAAAAAATTTCTAATAGAAATTTATTTCATCAAAACGAAAATCCTTCATCACCTTATTTAACAAAAATCAATCTTCCAATTATAAGTAAAACTCCGTCGTTATGAAAAGCCACAAATAATGATAATGATAATAATAATAAAATAAAATTAAAAAATCCTAGAACAAGCTACGCTTTGAAAAGTAAATATGTTTACATAACCGATCAGTGGAAAATATATTTCTTTGAATTAAAATTTATTCCACTTAAAAGGAGAGATTTCTACATTATTTGGAAAATACACCATCTAGGGGTCTTGATTGGAATAAAATAGATATGTAGAATAATTATGTACCTTTGGTTTTCGTTTATGATAACACTTTTTGAAGGTTGGCCTTGAGCACGACTCTCATCTCAAAATTTTTATCCAGAGTCGGTTGGATTTTGTTAAGTTGGTCATTGTAGCCAGAGTTGGGAAAAATCAAACTAATTCAATCATGATTAAGAATTTTGATTGAAGTTTAATCATGATTGAATTAGTCATGAGTAAATTAATCATTATATGATTTAGTCACACCTCATGATTGAATTAATTATGATTAAATCATATAATAATTAATTTACTCATGACTAATCCAATCATGATTAAACTTCAATCAAAATTCTTAATCATGATTGAATTAGTTAGATTTTGCCCAACTCTGCTACTAGACATGGTCGGTTGTTCCACAAGCACTATAGTCTTCTGGTTTATTGTACTTTACTACTTTCCTAGTTACTTAGCTCAGTGCAATCGACTCAATCCTTCTTCTAAGAACTGCTAGGTCACTGACGGTCGTTGCATTCCTTGGATTTTCTTTGTATCCTAATTTATGTCTCCATTGAGTAGTTCGCATTCGAAGATGGTATAAAAAAAAAGATGATATGGGTGGCTGTTTTATCCTGCTCATTCCATAACCTACATATATGGGGCGTCATCGTTGATTGTGACCATGTTGTGTAAATGTTTTTTCAGATCACTGTGAGTTTAGCCCTCTCTGTAGCAGTGAATTTTCCAGTTTTGTTGTGTTTAAAGAACTTAGAAAACTGAGAAGACTTTTTTTACATCCATCCTGTGATTGAGAGTCGTGTTTGTTTTTGTAATCCCAAGAATAGATTCAGGACCTCTTTCATTACTTACAGGCTAGGGTGTTTTATTTGAGTAGAAATCTTGGCCAAGCGAAACCTGTAAAATCAAGTGACCAAGTCAAGATAATAAATAAATATGTAAGATGAAGTAATTATAACCTTATAGAATAAACTGAACTTGATATATTGGATAATATTTTTTTTAAAGTTTGGTCCTTTTAGCCAACGAATGTGTTTGATCTCGCCATTTTCAGACCTGTCTCTGTACGTTTTTTGTATTTTTTTAATTTTTTAAATGATTAGAAATTTAAAAAAATAGACCCAAACGTCAGAAAATCAACAAAATAGCATTGATAACATCCGCTACAGATGCAAAACTGTCCATGCCAGTTCATAAAATCATTATTTGAAAATTGCAAAGACTTGATTAAAAAAAAATTAATGGACCAACAAAACACTAAAATGCGCAGGAGGTTCTACAAAGAATCAGTTCTATCAATAGCTCACTAAAGGTTTTCTTTTTGTATGTTCCAGGATGCCGCGGAACCTTGGTTCCTCGGCTTTCATGAAGCCGTTTGTTGTGTTGGCACTGCCGGGGATGTACTTGTTCTACAAGTACAGCCAATACAAGAGGCAGCAGCAGGAGCAAAACCGGCGAAAAGTCACCGAGAGGGAACTGGCTCATCTTAACCACAAGATCGTAAGTGTGATCGATTTCCTCACTCGAAATTAGTTTAACGAAAATAAAAGCTCGTAATTAATTAATTAATATTAGCCTGTTCGTGCATGTTACAACAAGGTTGAAAACAGTTGAACCGAAAAGATGATTGTATCTAATAATCATCTAGCCTTTTAAAATAGCCCTTGGTTGCATGTCGAATTTATTTTTTAATAGTGCGTTGACGTAAGCCGGAAATTTGATGGCGTATCATTATTGTTTTAATCTAGCTTATTATTACATAAAAATTAGGGCAATACTTGCTTATAAGAGCTATTTTTAAACCTTTCTGTTCGACTTTGAACTTTTCTAGCAACCTACGTAAATTTGGTCTCTTGAATTGGTGTTTTGAAGTACTTGGTAAATTATAATTTTGGATGTTTAGGGGCCGAAAAACGCCTAAAGTTATCGTCGGCCCTTTACTTGTTAACACTTACTGTCCTGATCTTTCACACATATTTTTCAACTTACAACCTGCAACAATATGACCGTCTCTATCTATCCAGGCTCTCCGCTTTTGTATGAAAGCCATGTCGTAAAATTTTAAAAAGGTAGACTCTCGTTTGTACCTCACATTGTCAAATATAGGGTGGACACTAGAATGCAATACGATATATATTACCCTATACAAACATATCCAACCAGGAGCAGTCGATATTCTTGCGGAGAGGCTGCACCCACTCCATTCCCGCTAATAATTACATTCATTCGGATAAATTAGCATAAACACAAGACTCGATACCAACATAGAAGTCTGGTATATCCCACGCGTAGTTGATATTTTTGCGGCGAGGTTGCACCCACTCCATTCCCGCTAATAATTACATTCATTCGAATAAATTAATATAACCATGAGACTCGATACCAACATACAAGTCTGGTCACATCTAATTGGTAAATTAAATTTACCTATAATTTTTTGAGAATTGGAATTATTTTATGGCTCAAATTTTGACCGCGCTTGTTGTGCAAATTTCTTCATTTCAGGAATCTTAAAATAAGTAAGTTACGATTTAGTGTACTTAAAAAAAGTGTTGTTTTAATTGATATTACAAAGTTTAAATTTCTTCTAAAAAAGACATTTCTAAAGTTTTTCATCCAGAAAATAATATTTAAAAAAAAAACCAAAATCAGCTTGAATGAGCTTGAATATTGCAGTATTCAAGTGGACCATGAGTAAAACTCGTCGGCTTAAAAATTTATCCTTTTTCCTTTTATTCTTCCGGTGCTTGTAAACTTTTCCCGACCTGTCGGATCCAAGCTTTCCTTCCGAAAATCCTTATTTATAATCCATCATTTTCAAAGATTAATATGATAAAACTTTACGAAATTAGTGCACCTAATTTTTACCAGGTATGGAAAATAACTTCAGGCTCTTTTGTAAATAAGACTTAAACAAACTACCGATTGAAACGTCTGGGACAACTAGTCTGCCTACTTTATTTTCAGCTTGTATAGACAAACAGAGATAATTCCTCGGATAATTCCGGGTTAGAACACAGTACAACTGCACGATAAATACTCTAGTACTAGGACATGACACCCAATTAGGAATATCGAATTACCCATGTTTTCCTGCTGATGTTTGATATTTTTCGATACTATTGACCAACAAGAGGTTTTTATATATTTATTTACTTTATTGTTACATATTTTTCAATCTGCACATGCACACATTTTCACTATCTGTCTTACATATTTATTATTGTAAAATTTTTTTAAATTATCGGTTTGGCTACTCTCATTTATATTTTCATTGTTCTATCAATTTATCTTTCTTGGTATAAATATTAGATGATCATCTCTATCAACGTACTCTGTGCTCTCTCTCTCACTCTCTCTCTCTCTCACTCTCTCTCACTCTCTCTCCCTCTCTCTCGCCCACTCTCTTTCCCCCCACCCTCTCACTCTCTCTCTTTCCTCCTACCTACTCACACTTTCTTCCTCTCCCTTTCTCACTTTTCCCTCTCTATCTCTCTCTTTCCTCTCTCTCTCCCTCTCTCTCTCTCCTCCCCTCTCTCTCTTTCTCTCTCTCATATCTCTATATTTCCTCCTCCCCCTCTCTCACTTTCTCTCTCTCATATCTATATCTTTCCTCCTCCCCCTCTCTCATTTTCCCTCTCTCTTTCCTCCCCCTCTCACCTCTCTTTCTCTCTCTTTCCCCCTCTCTCTCTTTCCTCCTCACCATCTCCCATTTTCTTTCTCTCAATTTCTATCTCTTTTTTTCCTCCTCCCCTCTCTCACTTTTCCCGTCTCTCATTTTTTCCCTATCTTGCTCTCTCTCTCTCACTCCCTCTCTTTCTTTATCTTTCCTCCTCCCCATCTCTCACTCTCTCTCTCTCCCATCTTTCTCTCCCCTCTCCCTCACTGTCTCTCACTCTGTTGTTTCTTTTCTTTCTTTCTCGCACTATCCCTACTTTATTACTCCCTACTATCCCAACTCTCTTATTCTCATTTTTTCTTAATCTCAACCTATCTCACGCTTCTTTCTATATATCGACCTATCTACTTCTCTATCGTTTTTTCTCTCTCACCTTTTCTGTCTTGCTACTTTTTTCTAAAGTTTTTCTTTGGTTCTGTTTTCTTTTGACTTTCCGTAAATACCTGCCTTTCTCTCTCGATCTGTCTCCCTTTCTCAGCTTGCCTCTCTCTCCTTTTCTCAGCTTCTCTCTCTCTTTATTTGTTTCTGTGTCTCTTTCATTGGCTCAGTCCGTTGGTATTTCTTTATGTACCTGCCTATCACTTTCTCTTACGCTTTCTCTCTTTCTCTCTCTCTCTTTTTCCCATTTGCCTTCGACAGTCTCTTTCATTCGCTAATACCCTTTTCGTTATCTTCCTTTTTCTTTCTCGCCTTTTCTATTTTATTGCTTTTTTCTATGTGTTTTCCACGTCTATGTACATCTGTCTTTTCATTCAAGATTTTTTCTCTCTTGCTCATGTACATATTCCTGCACCCCTTTCCTCTTTTTCTATATATCTTCCTTTCTCTGTCTCTCTTTCATACCGTCTTCTCGATTATTTTGTGTGAATCCGAGGTGTCTTACACTGAATTCTTATGAAAATTCATTTGATTTTTTGTACACATGGCATCAAAATCTTATGTTTGCTAAAATAAATAAAAATGTATAGTTAAGTGCAATAATAGTACTCTAACTATAAACAGCATACCATTGCATTTCTGTCCAAAATTACTATATATTAATTTATTGTCCAGAAAAAATTGTATATAAACAGTAAACAGTATAACAGTAACATGATTATGTAAACTCAAATTACAAGTTACTATTATTGAATAATTTACGTGCATTTTTTATGCAAACAAGAACGTAGTGATAGATTCTTTCGAACTGATTTACATTTAGACAGGTAAAAAAAAAGATTTTTTTACTAAACATTTTAAATGATTTAATCTTATTATCATGTCTTTAATGTCCCCACAGTTGCCCACCTCGAAAAATCCACGATGTAATTTTAATTTTCATCGATTATGGGCCCCTCATTTGCGGGCCCCCTTCGTACAAAGAATTCTTGTAAGACTGCTTAGAATTTTTAAAGGTTTCTTCGTTAGCTGTTTCATGTAAAATGTTAATTTGATGGAGTTGACTTTCCAACCGTTTTGGAGTCTTAGGAATTTTCCCCATTTTTTGCGCTTTAACTTTCGTCCTTTGTGTCCGATCTCAGCTTTTTATGACATCTAATCTTTAGTAAATTTACTCTGATCGATTTTTATTATTTCTTTAGGCGAGCCCTTTCTATAAGAATAACCTAACTTGTTTTAATTGTTAACGTAAATTAAAAAAATAATTTAAAAAACTACAGGGTGTCGCGTCGGATGGACAAATGAGCAGCACGGGACATGTAATTGATCCGTGAGGGAGACAAACCGGTATTTATTTTCTCATTAATGTCACAAAGCGTCAACAGTCAGTAACACTTTTAAAGGAACATCAACTTGATAGTACTTAATGTTTAGTTTTACTTTTAGGAAGTGCAGACATGAACAAAAAGAGAAATAAATGCGAAATAAACTACTGTGTTAAATAACCTAGACCGAATTCGTATACCAAATAGTATCTATCAATATGGATATTTTTGTATTAAGTATAATTAAAAGAATAATTAATGGAAAGATGTAACTTAGTCGATTGACCACTAAAACACAAATGGTATAATAACAATATTAGACATTTGTATATCAAATAACTAAAGTTATTATTAATTAATGTTTCATAAGTAAATAAATAAAACAATTTCAAAACCTACTGTTGTAAAAATACTATCATATACTGGGTGCCAACGCACTTGTACTCCCTAGGTTCTTACAAAAACCAAACAACCTTCGTGGTTCAGGTATTTCATACTAGAATAAAGTGTGATGCTATTTTTGTGGTTTCATATATATAACAAAAAACATTAACAAGTTAACAAACATGACATCACAGTAATCAAATTTTATTTAAGTATGGCATACTTAGTTCAAAATTTGTATTATTTAGATCTGTGTTGTATAATTATTTTTTCTAATTAACGTATGTTTGCAATTCAACCAGGCCCTGAAGATGACCCGAATAAAGGTCGAAATGTCGGTAAAAAAATGAAAAAGGTTTTTATCTAAAATACTTCATTCGTGACCGCTTCTCACTGCTTCAAAAAATTATTGAATACCTTTGCTAAATAACACTGATAATAACAATTTAAAAAAATTTCTCGTTCTGTTTGTCTGTAATAATCTGTCGAGATAATTCGTTTTTATTTTGTATCAACGAAATATATAAAATATAGTGATGTACAACGAATAAAAAAGAATTATTGAACAGATCGACAAGAAAAATGACAAGCCAGTTCAAAGCCAAGATTATTAATTATTTATTGTCAGGATGTATTATATATTCAGGGATCATTTATGTGGTTGGAAATTGTTAAAAATTTGTCCTTCTTTGACTATTTTAGATTCAACCATTAAATGTTGTTAAAATTCTTAA